TCCTCGCTGTCTCTCTCTCTGCCAAAGAAATAAACAAAATCTTCAAAAAAAAAAAAAAAGTTTAAATTAACTACATAAAGCCCTCCTGCTCTTATCTTTTGGCCTCATCCGTAAGGTCTCAGTGCAAACACCCCACAAATGCCCACAGGAATTGGACATGTGTGTATCACCTTCTTTTCAGTGTTGCATAAAAATCAGTATTTTTAAATAAGCAGTTGATGGGAAAGAGCTATACCCATTATGAAAGTTAGTACCATGGTGTTCATCCTGAGGTCAAATGAACAGTGACCGAAATTTATAACTGAAAGTTCCCAGAAAGCACCTCTCTTGTTGTTATCACCACCTCCCTGCAGCCCTCCTGTCCACACCAAAGCCTGTCTCAGGGCGGGCTGCGACTCTCGGACTCTGAGCCTGTTACCATCCCCACCCCCCACATTATGATAGCAGTTATATTTTCATTATCTGGTGACTTAAAAAAGAATAATGCAAGTCTAGCTAGAAGTACAAAAGAATCTGTATTATTTATATTGAGAGCACCTATGTCACAGAAAACACGATGCCAGAGCCGTTCGTTATTTAGCTATTTGCAGTGGCTGACACGCAGGTGGACTTCAGAGTCCCTGAGAACATCACGGGGTCCCAGACCTTCCGGGAGGGACCACTCCTGCACAGTGGTTCCCCACCGTCCACCAGCAAGGGTGCAGGCCATCTCCCCGCGGAACACACAGCAGAAAGAAACGAGGCTACCAAAGGCTTCTATTCCTACAACTCTATAAGGAGAACATAAATTTTACAGTAGAAAATCTGGTACTTAGAGCAAATCACTCCTGTATCAAAACCATTCTGCTATTACGCCTCCAACTCACCCTGCCACTTTAGGGCCATTAGCAGGCGGAACAGGACAGAAACTCTTAGCTCGTGCAACTGTCAAATTACTAGTAACCTGAACGCCCTGCAATGGTTCAGGTGTACAGATCAAGCAGGTCAAAGTTGCTGGTCCACGGAGCCCCCTTTTGGATACGCTGGGGTTCTGAGCCATCCTCTCGAGGAAAACAGTGGGCCAGGAGCTACACGGATCCTCGGGGATCAGGTTCTGGAACACTCAAGCTGACGACTCAGAAGCTGACTCAGGGAGAAAGGAAAAAAAAAAAAGGCAGCAGCGGCAGCAGCAACTCTTTAAAAATGATTTATCCCCATTTATCGAGACGTGTCTTGCCACCCAAAAGGAGACCCCAGTGAGACAGGTTCGACCACGCGCCAGGGACAAGGACAGCGGTGCGCGTGTCCTCACAGGCGGAGCCCGGGGAGCCTCCCAGCGCGGGCTCCAGGTGTTTCTTCTGGTTTCACACTCGGTGCCCCGGCGCCTCTGCCTTGCCATCCCACTGCTTCTGTGGGCGGCTGGAGGGCGCCATGTGTCAGTGGGGGCGTCCGGGGGCGGCAGCGCTGACGTTAGGAAACAAGGCCCCACCCACACAGCCTGGGTTTCAGTTTCGCCAGGCGGCAAACACCATTATGCAAATTATTTTCCTCGCCCACGCCCCCCCCCCGCCCCCGCCCGCTCCGGGGCAGAGTCTTACATATTCATTCCTCCCTCTGAAGTTCATGTACACCCGAGGCCTGCTAAGGATTTGCATCATATTTACTTTAAAATGTCCAGGTGCAATTCTGAAACAAGATTCTCCTTTCAGAAGGGCGACTGCGCGTATAAAGTAATGAATTAGTAGCGGTGTCAGGAGTAAAGCCCCGAGGCTAACGCCGAACTTCTCACGGAAACGCAGCGTTCAACGGCACTCAGATGGAAGGCAGGAGTCGGCTGGGGGTGCGTTCTGACTCCTTCCACTTGGTCCAAGGGGACGCGGGCCCCACCAAGAGTGGCCACAGCCCGGCCCTTCCGGGAGGCCCTGACGCTTCTAGAATCTCGTGGGGTTTGGGAAAACAAATGTCTGGTTCACGTTCAAGTCACATTTTCGAATTTGGGAAGCGCAGTCACTTTGTCAGCCCGTTCTGTATGATTCATTTACAGTTTTAGCTCAAGGGACTTGAGCTAACGTCCACTCACAAAAAATTCCCAACCGGATACAGGGTTAGTACAATCTGGAGGGCGAAGGGGCGCCACAAAGACAGGCTTTCCTTCGCCCTTATGTTAAATAAATTATATAGGGACATCCTCGTGTGATTTTTAGACCAGAATAATTCTTTGAAGCTGAAATCATTCTCATTTCATTTATGAGAGTCACATAAATCTTAGTGAATCATTTTGGATGTTTTTCTAGAAAACGGCGAGGGTTTCCATCAGTAGATACGCCATTTGCAGGACAGTCATTTCTACTTCCCTCAAAGACAGTCTTCCTTGCTTCCCACTTGTAGTTGGTTTCACTTTCAAGGTGCGTTTGCCGCGTTCGGGTAGAGCTCACAGCTGCAGTGAAGTGACTGATGACTCTGTAAATTATCCTGAGTGCAAAGGAAATCATTTATAAAAAGCTCTTAAAATAATTATAAACTAAACTGCAGGTGGGAAACTTTTATAAGACAAAAACTACTGAAGCACAGAAACCTTTCGGAAAGCCCCGAATAGTAAGAAATCCTCAAGTGACTGTCACTCAACTTAAAGCAGTGCCGCCTTGAGTGTGGCGTTCTCATGCCTTCACCGTAAGATCAATCAGATGTAAGGCAAGACAAAGCCCACACTTCCTTGCAAGGGATTCTGAACAAACTCAGAGGCTTGTTTGTGCCCCCATGAAAGGTCATGGGCATGAAGCCAGCTTGAGGAAACCTATGGCTGTAGCTTGGGGCTGTCTGCTAATTCCCTGCCCGGCACTGGCCTGAGCACTGTCCCTCCACAAGGTGTGGAACAGGAGATGGGTTCTGTCTCCATTTCTAGGTGATAAAACCCAGGCTTTAGAGAGGTTAAGTAACCCGCCTGGGGTTCTGAAAAAGCCAGAACTGAAGGCATTTGTTTTTGACCCCTATGCACAATCACATCTATGGGGGAACAAAACTACCAGATGTATAAATTCTGCCCAACCCCCGAAAGCCATTTACTCAAGAATGGTTTTCCTTTTCCTGCCATGCACAGGCAGGCTCACGGTTGCCCAGCCCTTCCTGGTCTGCGCGGACACATCTGGCTAGTTCTGGCGTGTGGCATAAGGGACCTCTGTGCTTCCACACACCAAAACCATGTTCTCCAACAGCCCCATCAATAAAAATAGCGGATGTCGGAGGCCAGGGCCGGGGGTGGGAGGGGTTGTTGATCTTGGCACGGGAGTCTCTCCAGTGTCCTGGCCTGCAGCGAACCCCTTTCCCTTTCTTACCCCTGGATGGAATCTGAGAATCTGGGTCTCCTTCCCACTCTGCAAAAGACTTTTGTCCTCTCCCATCTCTTCCTTCTTTCCTTTGAAGCTTTGAGAGTGCCACTCTGCCGCTGCAGGCTGATGCAGGGAAGGGAGAAGGGTCTCTGAATCCCTGGCGGGAACATCAATGGATCTTCACATTGACTTGCATGAAATGGTACATACTGGTGTTCACAGCTATGAGACTGTCAGTTCTGCTAGTCTCAGAGTTGCTCCCAGGGGAGGGTGAATAAACTTTCACTGGATGCCCTGGGGACCTTCCTGGGACCTGCCTTCTGTGAGAGTGAGGTCCAAATGGCTCTCCCCTGGGCTTGGCCAACAACCTGCTCTCAAGGCAGAAAAGACCTTCACAGGGACTCACATCAACCCATCTGCTCAGGGTAATCTGGGGAAGAGGTTTGAAAGGGCCAAACAGCTCAGGTATAGTTAGCAAATAACTCTGATTCTTTTGGATATTACTGCTATTGATTCAACAGGGAAAGATTGAACCCCATCAAATAGATAGATTTTCATTCTTTGTGATGGGAAAGATCTAACACCAATGATTTTCAGAAAAAAAATCAATCAGTGAAGACATAAAAAAAATTGAATTAAGTTGTATAAAATCCCCCTGCCCATCCCTTCCAAGGAAGGTGGATTCTGAAGATGTCAGGGGTAACCGTCAGTAGGTTTTGGGGTGAGGAAGAGATAAAAGTTGGAGCAAAGCAAAGAAACCTCACCAGCCAGCTGCCTAAGAGAAGGGAGAGGGGTCCAGAGGGCAAGACCCCAAGTCGGGGTGGAGGAGAAGGGAGACATGGAGGTGAAGCAGAGTGGACCAGAAGAGTATGCTGGGATAGGTAGTAAGAGACAAGGCTGCCTCTCAGAGCAGAGGTGCAGGAAGAGAAAAGTGGCCAAGGGGAGTTTTCAAGAGGCACTGCCAGGTAGGTGTGATGTCATCTCCTTCTCCAAAACAGTAAGGAGAATGCAGTGAATGCTCTGTTCTCAGTGCCCTCTGGGGGGTTTTGAATCCAGCTCAGGGTCAAGCCCTGGACTGGGAACTTGGCCATATTTCTCTGGCCATTTTCCAACTGCAGCCAGTATGAGTAGATTAAGCAATTTTACCACCTGCCCCAAATTCCTATTTTTAATAGGAAGCTAACTAGAGCACTGAAAAAATTTCCCTCAAATAACTCTTTAGGAATTTAAATATATTTCTGTACATGTATCCATTTCTATATATTTATGCAAATACATCCATATAATAAATACTACTTACATATACTACAGATGTAAGGATGGTATTGGCTACGTGATTTCTGATAGTCACGATTAAGGAGTGTATCAGTCAGAACAGGCTAGGCTGTGCTGCGGTAACAGACACTACCTCCCATATCTTAGTAGCTTATCCCAACAAATATGTGTTTCTTTCTCACGCTGCGTGTCCAACACTCATTTCTTTTGCCAAAGCAAGTCCCATGGCCATGTGTAACTTCACAAAGGCTGGGCAACCACAATTCTGCCCTGTGTGTGCAAGAGAAAAGAGACAGGAATGCCCGTGAACGATACCAGTGACTGCCAGAGGGAGTGATGGGTGAGGAGAGGAGAACAGCTTGGAAGGCCCAGGAGGGTGCACCTGATGAGACCAGGAGCCACCCTTCCCAGGCCTGGCACACTGCTAAATAATTAGCTGCCTCTTCTCACGTAATCCTTAGTCACCACCACATGAGGTGCACACTGTCAAAAGCCCCTCCACTAATGAGGAAACTGAGACCCAGGAAAGTCAAAAAGTTTGCCCAAGATCAGACTGCAAGCAAGTAGCAGATTTTAGATTAAGACCAAGGGCTCTCTGACCCCGGACCTGGGCTGGTAACTACCCTGTCGGCTGCGTTTCGGTGGATGGAGAAGGTCAGGTGTTCCTCCGACTCCAGGAAATGGAGGCTCCAAAAAAGCATGGTTGTGTAGACTGAGTCCCTAGGGAAAGGATGGCTCAAGAAGGCTGGGAGGCTCTCAGATGCTTAATTCTCCCCTACAATAGGACATGGCCCTTATGAGGAAGAAGAGCTGGATGCTTATGGAGAGTGTCGTAGCCCAAGGTGCATGATCTGGGTGCATAGCTCAAATGGAAAGGACGTGAATGAAAGATGGAACGTTGGTGCAAAAGGGAGCCGGTGCCTACCCGCCTGTTGGGAGCCGGTGCCCTGCACATAGCAGGTGCTCAGTTCATGTTTTTAAAGGGAACTCAACAGAGCCCTGGCGGAGCACTTTCAGGAAGGAACAAATCAAAATGGGCTACAGAGAAACAGAAGAGTGGGGTTCATGGTAGAAAGCAGAACCTCCTCCACTTCTATTTTATCTATTTTGTCAGTCAAAATAATGCTAATACTGAGCAGAGGACTGTAGTCGTCAGAGTTATCCAGAAAAACAGAGCCAATAGAATATGTATAGAGAGAGGGGGAAAAAAAGAGAAAGAGAAAGATTTATTTTAAATAAGCGACTCATGTAGTCATGGAGGCTTGACAAGTGCAAAATCTACAAGGTAGGCCAGCAGGCTGAAGACCCAGGAAAGAGTTGCAGTTTGAGTCAGAAGTCTGTCTGCTGGCAGAATTCCCTCTTCTTCAAGGGACCTCAGTTTTTTCCTATTTCAGCCTTCAACTGATTAGATGAGGCCCACCCACCTTATGGCAGCATGCGGCTTTACTCAATGTCTACAGATTTAAATTTTAATCTCATCTAGAAATAACTTCAGAGAAACATCTAAGATAATGTTTGGCTAAATATCTGGGTACTGCGGTCTAGCCAGGTTGACACAAAAAAAGTAAAGCCTCTCAAGGACCACAGACAGCACGTGAGCCAGCTGAGGCCCAGAGTGGGAGGTGGTGACAGTGAATGGGTACCTGGATGAAGCAAGCGGGGTCCTGCCTCCCACCTCAGTGACCTGCAGCCTGCAGCCAGCACATGCGCCCTGGTGAGCTGCTCCAGCATTCATAGACACGGCAGGTTCTGGCGGCCAAAAAGGGCAAGAAGGTAACTCCAGAAACTCCGACCCTTAAGTTCACCCTTGACAAGGTTCTAAAATGCCAAAAATCATGCTTTAGAAGACCTCAGAAAAAGAAGTAGCATGTCCCAGGAGCCAGGCAGGTCACAGGCAGCTGATCTCATTTTCTTATGGCAGGGGCTTGAGAATGGTAAATCAAGGAAATATGGTGAGCAGCTTCGCTAGGCTTCAGCAAGACACCACCGAAGAAATCCTAGAGGCCACAATGGAGAAATACGTTCAGGAACAAGTTTAGTAGCTTCACAGTTGGTTGACTGAGCCCAGAATTCTAACTGGTGTCATGTGGTGGGTATCTCCCTCCGGTCACCCTCCAGGCCCCCATTCTCAGCCCTGTCCTGTCCACCACTTCTCAGTGACATGACAACAACGTAGTCAACCTGTTCCTCAGATCTACTGATGACCCATCCCCTGCAGGGAGTACATTTATTGACTTACAAACAGAATACCAGAAGATTTTGATGGGATAGGATAATGGCCTAAATATTCTATAATAATGTTTAATAAAGGCAGTATTAGGTTATGTACATTTGGATGCAAAAAACCCTAACTTCCCCTGTAAGTTTAGAGTATAGGAGACTTGTCTTTTGCAGCAGAAATTAAAGAGGAAAAAAAACCTTACAGGATTACATTAACAATAAATGCATTATTGATGAAAGTGTAATGTGGCCACTAGCTAAGGGAAAGGGCTCCAGGGTGCTTCGTATGGTGTGACGTGGTGGCCCATTCTGCTCTGGGCTGGCCAGACCTCACCTGAAGCATCCTGTTTCTTTCTAAAATCCACAGTTTTAGAAGGATGGAAGCAGCAGAGAATATTTAGGGGAGAGTGGCCAGACAGAGAAGGGATTTGTTTATTAGATGTGAAGCAGTCTAAGGAACTTTGGGCCTGGGAATGTCTTGGAGGAACATGAGAAGAGCCAGATTGAACTGTGCTGCACCAAAGGGCAGAATGGAGAGCAGAAGTTGCCAAAGTTCCAATAAACAGACTGGTTCAATGAAAACCAGAATTTTCCAGCCATTAGAGAAGGTGCTCTGGTGGTCTGACATCTGGTCACTGGAGGGGGGCATCACAGAGTAGAGTCAAGAGATAGAGCGGGTTTGTATGAGGTGAGCCTAGGAAAGGAATACTAGGTTTGTGAAATGCCACAGCATGTGCAAATAAGAGTAACAATAATCATGTAGCTGACATTTTTCATGCACCTACTCAGTACTGAGCTCTGCGTTAAGAGTTTTACATTTAACATTAACAGCAGCCTTGGTGTTAGGTGCTATCGCTTACCTACACCTTATGGGAGAGGGTGCTGAGACCTAGAGATGCAAACTGAATTTTCCTACTCACCTGACCAGTAAGTGGTGGCCTAGAAAATTCAAACCCTGGTGTGTGGAACTCCAGTGATAAAAGAATCAGTGCTCTTAAGGGAAGGGCCAAGTGGATTGTATTTAAGAGCATAAAACAGAAGAAAAAGTCTCAGAGAAAGAGACCTTGTCTCCACCTGGTCCTCACCTTAGTCAATTCCTATGGGAACAGAACTCATAGGAGAAAATGTCAAAAATTGCAAAGCAAAATAAAGCCCATAAATCCAGGGCAGAATTCAGGCCAAAAGTACCTCCAAAGATAGCCAACCCTTTGGAGGATCATCATGGACAATGTGAACTTGAGAAGTGTAAGCAAAACACCCATGGAAGATGGGCAGGAAGGAAGCCGAGACTGGCCACTGGTCTGGCTGACCCTGAGAGCTGTCTCCATCAGAGGGAACAATAGGTCCAGCCACTAGGCAGGCGATGCGGCCCTCTGCCACAGGACTAGAGGGTCCTGCTCAGAAAACTAGGGGCCCCTGTGGTCTCACAAACATGAGAATCATACCTTACCTACTTGCAATTGGCGCTGGGTCAAATTGGTAGAGATGAAAATGTACTATTTGAAACCAGAAAGAGATTTGACACTCTCACTAGTAGAATTCTGAACTGTTATAGCTGTCAGATTTAAAGCACAGAAGCCAGCAATGAAGAATGCAAAGTGAACAAATTTTGTCTTTATAATTGATCATGATGATGTTAACTGGCCAGACATTTCACCTAGCCACTTCTTGCATAATTCATCCAAGGGTGAGAGAAATATATGGAAATGAGTCTTAAATGCATTACCTAGAACAAACTGTTATGGACTGAATTGTGTCCACTAAAATTTATATGTTGAAGTCCTAACCTGCAGTACCTCAGTATAGTACTGTATTTGGAGATAGTGCCTTTAAGGAGCTAATTAAGGCAAAATGAGGTCATACGAGTGGGCCCTAATCCAATATGCCTGTCCTTCTAAGGAGAGGAGATTAAGACATAGACCAGCACATGCACAGAGGAAAGACTATGTGGGGACACAGGGAGAAGGTGGCCATCTGCAAACAGAGGAGAGAGGCCTCAGAAGAAACCAAACCAGCCTTGATCTTGGACTTCC